CTTTGTCAATCCTTGAAGATCCTCAAAGATCCTGTGAGGTTTTTCACCAGGGTGAAGCTTCGAAACCCTGTCTTGCATTGTTTCTCTTTCAAGTAACAAGAGAAGGTTGGCTGTTGGTGGTTATTGAAAGAAGCCACCTTTAATATATGTAATTTTTATTATGTATTAAATACAGTTTTTTACAGTTCTTCAGTTTGTGAAGGGAAATCAACTTCTGATCACTCAAGAATGAAAAGCTTATTTTAGTTAGAAATATGATGGGAGAGATTGCTGAGTGAAAGGTTATTGTTTGTTTTCAGCCTGGCTCACCAGTTTCCCGTGTGTTACACTTTTCTGATGTTCATCTTGATCACCTGTATCAAGAAGGGAGTGACCCTGATTGTGGCGAGCCTCTGTGTTGTCGCAAAAATGATAAGCCTCCAGGTATGTTGTGGTATTTCTTATACTCATGATTGATACAGCTAAGTTCCAAACAATCTCTTAAAGATGAGATAAGTGAAAGCTGAGTAAGTTTACCATTTCTTATAATATGAAAATCAATTTTACTTGTAGCATAACCTACATGAAATTTAACCCTTCAACTCCCATATCAAATTTGTAATTCTCCTTACTGTCAACCATACAATTCTTTTAATGTTAATTCAGAGGATTTAGTACTGGATCAACTTATCCTCAAATTGACATTTTTCTTTATTCTCATCATTTATCTGGTTGATATTGCATTGATATTTTTAGGAGAAATTCTGTCTTGGTCACTCATGGGAGTTAAAGGGATATTATTAATAGTTGATTATGTGATTTGGCACCATTGGTCTCAAAGGGCTTCTTATAATGTAATTTGAGGAAATTCACACATCTGTTCAAAAATGGCAAAATTGAGCCAGAATACAATGGAATTGCCAACTTTGAATGGAAATTTTTTGTCTTCTAAAAGCTCTTGTGTCGAAAAAGACCTATGAAACCTTAAATTGCAAGATGGTCTGTGATTATTATCACTTTGTTTTGATTACAGCACCTGGGAAGCCCAAAGCAGGAAAATATGGAGACTATCAGTGTGATATTCCTGCAATAACTTTTGAAAGTATGTTGCAGCACATCAGCAGTACACATCAGGTGCAGATATACGGAGTTCTTATTAGTGTTTTATCTGTTTTTTTGCTGGGATGTACATTGTCGGCATGCAGTAAACAATTGCTTCCTTTTTGTGGAAAGAAGGCTTTGATAAAAAGAATGAATTGATATAGTATTTAAATTTTACATTTTATATGTTTGTTCACCTATCTTTGTTGTTGTGCATTTTACAGGACATTGATTATGCAATTTGGACAGGAGACATTCCTCCACACAACATTTGGAACCAGTCACGTTCAGATCAGGTGATGTTTACATAATGCTCATTCAGTAATAATAATGATGATATTGATGATAATGATGATGAAGAGGTATTACACAAGCTCTATAATAATCAATTGCACAAGGTCAATTATCATCACATGAAATGAGAAAAAATATTGACCATGGATAATAATTATTTTTTGTACAGAAAGAGGCAATTAACTATGCCAGTCAACTTTTAGAGAAATATATGCCAGGAGTGACAATATTTCCTGCTGTTGGCAACCATGAGGGTGCACCAGTGAATAGGTGTGTTAAAAATATATAAATAACTTTTTTTTTTTAACTACCAACTTGAAAGGAATTTAGGAATAAAAACTGTGAATTTTAGAGTGCACAGGTAAAAGATCGATTTCATCAGTTCAAAAATAATAACTTATTATTACACACAGTTTTTGAAAATGAAAAAAAATATATTTGTCTCTGGTTCTGTTAGGATTACTTGGTATCAATTCATGACTCTATAGAGTAAAATTTTGAGTGTTTAACCCTTAAAGTCCCAGATCAAATATGCAATTCTCCTTACTGTTAACCATACAATAATATTATTCTTATGTTGGTTCAGGGAATTTAGTATTGGATCAGTTCATTATCTCATCACTTATCTGGTAGATATTGTATTGATATTGTAAGGAGAAATTCTGTCTTGGTTACTCATGGTAGTTTAAGGGTTTATTATTCATTGGTTTGTATAATGTTTACAGCTTCCCTCCACCATTTATTACTGGTGATAACTCAAATCAGTGGCTCAGAGATGCTTTAGCTAATGACTGGATCCAATGGCTTCCAAATGATACAATTCCTACAATTCACAAGTGAGTCAATGTCCACACTTTAAACTTTGAAAGAAAAACACTCAAGAGGAAGATGGATACTTTTGCTTAGGATGATAGGAAAGAGAGCAGTTAAGCTATATGGCCAATGTCATAAGAGCTTGGTTAGGTTTTTGTGGCATGAAGTGACTAGGTGTATTGCTACTGCCCTCAGATGAAAGTCCATGAAAAGTTACCCTCCAAAATTTTGTCAAGTTTTCCTGACAGTTCACCTGTACCCATTTACAGGAGTCAGCCAGGATTTTCAAAGGAGGGGTCACACTGTGTCAAACAGAGGGTACTCCCCAGATTGTCATGTTGACCTTCACACTCTGTTTTAATTAATGTGACAAAAGAAAGGCTTACAAAGGGAGGGTCACAGCACCCCAGGACCCTTATTCCCCTTCCCCCCCCCATCTTAGCTATGCCCTTTGCAATTTATACTCTTTGGTTGTGAGAGGCAGCAAGTTAATTCGTCAAGTATATTGCCCAAGATCACAGTACAACTACCAACTACATAACCAGGTCTCAAACTCAGATCTCTGGAACCATAAGCATTTAGAATGTTAAGCAACTAATAAAGCAAACTGGCTATCTCTACGCAAAGGCAGATACCCTCAAAACATAGTTTAATCTTGGCAAGGTTAATTACTTTTGCCATAACTGTAATTGCTTCTTATTGTTCTCTACCCATAGAGGAATCTTCTACACAGTCTATATGTCAAAAGGATTTAGGATAATTTCAATCAACATGAACTACTGTAACAATATGAACTGGTATGTCAACTGTTTATCTGCTCAAACCATTTATTTTTATGTGGTATTTATTTGCTGTGTCATTTGATTTTGTTTTATACACACTCAGTCTTGTATGCCATGCATGAAAGACCTTGTTTTTTGTTATTTTAAATTCTATATTTACCTCTTCTAGGTGGCTTTTAATCGATAACTATGATCCTGCTCATCAACTGCAGTGGTTGATAGACACTCTACAAGAAGCTGAAGACAATGGTGAAAAGGTTGGTTTTATCTTAGAGAGAGAGTTCAGCTTTTAAGACGTGAGTGACATGTACTGCACCACACCTTCTTCTTGTAATACGTCATATTCACCAGTTTAGTGATGAGTATTTATGACTTATCAACCAGAGGATGTTATGTTGATTGTCACATTTCTTATTTGTAGATCTTGATGACAACCAGTAGGGTTAAAAGGGACCACTCTGGGGCTTGGAAATAATCTGAAATCCAAGCTGATCTTTTCAGATTGGTTATAATTGTTGATAATGGGTTTAACAAGAATATTTGTAGAATACAAAAATAGGTTAGTAGCGATCTGAAATAAATTATAAAGGTGAGAATCAAAACTCTTGTGATGAGAGCACCATTCAGCTGGGAAAAAATAGATTGGTGTGAATGGAAAAGTTGTGAAGCAACTTTTGAAATTATATTTGTCTGTTTAAATTTTAATTTAACCTTTTAAGCTGTACTTTAACAAGATTTAACAAGCATGCAGATGTCTGCTACTTTGAAGGAGCTGAATAGATATGGGTATAAAGCTGCTTATATTTGATTTCAGGTTCACATTATTGGCCATATTCCTCCTGGCAGTGGTGACTGTCTGACGCCTTGGAGCTGGAATTACTACAGGATTATAAATCGTTATGAGAGTACGGTCACAGCCCAGTTCTTTGCTCATACACACCTTGATGAGTTTGAAATCTTTTATGATGAAAAGACTAGGAAAAGACCCACAAAGTAAGAGTTATTATTATTACTTTTAAGCAATTGCCTGCCTTTTTTTAAATACATGTAATGGTGCAGAGGAACAAAAGTTTGATAAATACTTGAAAGTATAATGTCCAGAAAAATGTATTAGAAATTGGAGAGGTATTCATTAATGTTTTACCAGGAGTACACCTGTCATAGTTTCTTACGCAACACAAATGTATTGGCGCATGTGCATGAGGCATGTCCTTCGGATGTTAGAGTTCGAATAAAATGTCTGTTACGTTGCTTATCTGAACTACAACAACACCTATGTTTAAATCTAAGGTGATAGAACTGTCAGTAACAAATCACTGCAGACAAGAAACATCTGTTTGTGAACATTTGTCGTTCCTGCTCCAATTGTTGTAACTGTGAACATACCAATCCCATCATGAGTAACTGCCAGTCTACCAGTCCTGTGTCTTTATACAGATTTCACTACCCACCTGCCCCACCATGCTCTGCTGATTAACCCAGATTTCAACTACTGAACTCTGGGCATTCAGGCCAAATTTTTCCAGATATGCAAGCTGTAGTGAAACTCTGTTGGTATGTTTATCAAACCATGACAACAGATATAATGGACATTTCATGGAAGTGCGACTTGAGACAGAGACAGTTAATGGTTGTGCCTGTTTGGCTGATTCATAATATGTTGATTATTCTCGACAGCATTGCCTATATTGGACCAAGTGTTACAACTTACCAACAACTTAACCCTGGATACAGGATTTATGAAGTGGATGGTGATTATGTAAACAGTTCTAGGGTAAAATGAACTCTCCATTTTTTATTACTTTTTGTGTGTGTGTGTGTGCCATAATTAGCACCACCCTGTAAATGAGGTTTCCCCTCCCCCCTTATCAGTCATCATTTAAAGTAAAAGAATCAGTCTATGTTAAAACATTTAATGAGTGATATGTAATTGGCTATAAGTTTGAAAAAATTTAACAAGTGCTATCCCTTAATAAGGCACCCCCTTCAATAAGCGCTGGCTTGTTACCTAAATCTGAAAGTACTGTACTTCCTTGATTAAGAGCAAATTTTGGCTAAAAGGAGGGGTGCTGATTGGAAAGAGGTTGCTGAGGAGGGTGGTTATTATTCTCTTGTACTGATTCTGCTTTATTTGAAGCCTAAAAAGTGATAAATGAAGTAAAGTGCCAGTAGAAACAGGTTTTCCTTGTAGCTATATTATTTAAGGTGAGAGAGGAGGGGGGGAGGACTAATTCAAGAGGGCTACCAGTTTGTTATAATGACCAAGGGAGTGGGCACCTATTTGGAGGAGGTTGCTTATCAGGGCGTGGGTGCTTAGTCAGAGAATACGGTATGTACCCTGGGCACCATATGAAAGATTTATTGTGCATATAATATGTAGGAACTTGATGTGTTGGTGTTTCTTATGTCTCTACATCAATTAGGTACAGTACTGATGTCCT